ATTGTTTGAGATTTTATGAATAATATAAAGACCATACAAATCAGGATTTTTGTTGGTTTTTCGCTTCTGACCCATCTTAGGTGGATGATATGCCAAAATCAATAGCACCATCGTGTTCTGCGGGAAAAAATATATCGAAAACATGTAACATATGTTCGAAAATGATATTAAATTACCTCTGAATACAAAAGGCATAGCTGTCTACAGTGTGGATAAGGCCGACAGTCTTAGCAGAATATCATTTTTGCTGATTTAATAATGAGTGTAAACTATTTTTAAACGTATAATACATGTTTTCGATGTATTTTTTTCGGTAAAACACAATGGTGGTATTTATTTTATCGTAGGTTTAACCTAAGCGGCTTTAGAGTAAAAAAACTGTATTTTTTATCGGTTTTTATTTTTTTTGAGGGAGTTCCACCACTTTTAAAAATCTGAAAAAATTCACAGACATTTCTGGACTATAAATACATAATATATATTTTTTTCAGAGATGAGTCTGTCTTTGTTTTTAAAATATCGCATTTTGAAATATTCGAACGGCTCTAAAAATTTGAATTTCCCGCCAAAATTTTTCGAGTAATCCCGCTTTGTAGGGCTTAAAAAACTCTACAATTTAAAAAAAAAGAATTTTCTAGCTCAAAAATTGACTGAGATATCGTCGAAAACCTGAAAATCACAAAATAGGGCCTTATAAGGCCCCATTTGAACTTAAGGGTCTGAAAATTGGGGAATCCTAGTTGTTTTTCATGCTGAACAAGATAGGCGATCCACTTTTTCAAAATCGTTGGGGGCACTTTTGACCATCTTAATAGGCTAGACCCTTTCTCACCAAAACTAGCACTCACAGTCAAGACACGTTTACTTCCTTGCACGAGTCGAATCCCACTCCTGTTTTGCGATGAATCATATTCAATCAATTCAATCAATTTATCACAAAATCACGATTTAACCTAATTTAAAAACCCATATAACACAACATATTTCAAAAATTTTGGGCCGAATTACGTCAAATCGTATAAACCAATCAAATGTTTGATGGGAGCAGGAGACGACATTTCGTCGTCTGCACTGCTTCCTCCCCTTTCTCTGCTCTCGGCTGGCCTAGCAATCGATGTTGGATGCATTCTAAGAATGCGCCTAATGCGGTTTGTTTTCTTTCAGCGGCAAGTTTTTTCTAATCAAAAAGGTGCAAATTACAAACTTTGTACGTAGCTCTGTACAAACGTTCGTAATGCACATCAAATTCGTTTCAAAGTACTTGAGCATCATTGATCATTTCACTATCAATACTTTCCAAATTTAACAAAATAAGTCTGTGAACTAGATGAGTGTGATACTCAAAATATTCGTCATCCATAATGTCCTTTAAAATAGTTAAGCTGTATATTAACAAGAAATTTTTAAACTCCGAATCCTTCCAACTAACATAGTCTCCCACGCTTCGGGGTAGACGCTGAATATATGATGAAGGATTGAACTGCTTGATTCTTCTATTGATTATATTTATAAATGGTATTAATGATCAACGACAATCTTTTTATTTTCCTTTCAAATCCGTAGTAGAATTCGTCGATTGCAGTTGAACCTATGTAGTTACGTACTAATAAATCTAGTGCAAAAGGGCCTTTAATGCCTCGTACAGTGACTCCTCGTTCAAAAGCTTGCTTAGTATATCGTCGTGTTTGATGGTGATTTTTTTTTTCCAAACCATGTGCCTGCCAGAATATAATTTTCTTTTTTAATCCTTAAATGATAAGGTAGCTCGTTGATCATCAAATATAACGGCCATATACCATATTTTGATAAATTTAAAATTTTTACGCCATCTGCGTTCCAGGTGAAAGTCAAATTATTAACATTTTCTCTATACGAGGTGTGATCAAAAAGTAAGGTGAATTTTGAAATTTAACGGGCTACGTCCGTTCGATCTTCGACTTTTTTATTTGGTTATGCCGGTACACTCGTCTAGAACATACGTTTCAAATTTCAGCTTTGTAGTATGTTTGGTTTGTTTGTGAGAGGCATCAAGGTTAGAAGTGTTTTGCGTGCTCCACGATTTGCTGCTGTCTAAAAACATGGATCAAAGAGTTTGCATTAAATTTTGTGTGAAAAATGGAATCAAATGTTCCAAAACACTTGAAATGCTGAAAGTGGCATACGGTGAGTCTACTTTAAGCCAAAAAAATGTTTACAAGTGGTATAAACTCTTCCAAGAAGGCTGAGAAGACACCGACGACGAACCTCGTTCTGGACGCCCCAGCACATCAACAACTGATGAGAATGTTGAAGAAGTGAAGAAAATAGTGTTGGGAAATCGTCGAATTACCATTAGAGAAATTGCTGATGATATTGGCATCTCATTTGGTTCGTGCCAATCAATTTTGACGAGTGTTTTAGACATGAGACGTGTGTCAGCGAAGTTTGTTCCGAAATTGCTCAATTTCGACCAAAAGAAACGTCGCATGAGCATCGCCCAAGAGCTACTGAATGACGTCAACGATGATCCAGATTTTCTCAACAGGGTTATAACAGGTGACGAAACATGGGTATACGGTTATGACGTCGAGACTAAGACTCAATCGTCCCAGTGGAGGCATTCTGGATCACCAAGACCAAAAAAAGCACGCCAAGTTCGATCAAATGTAAAGGTTTTGCTTACAGTTTTCTTTGACAGCAGGGGCGTGGTGCATCCTGAGTTCATGCCACAGGGTAGAACAGTAAATAAGGAATATTACCTGCAAGTTATGCGCAATTTGCGCGAAGCAATCCACCAGAAAAGTCCGAATTTGTGGAAGAATAAAAATTGGCTTTTGCACCATGATAACGCCCCTGCTCACACATCGTGGCTTGTGCGCGAATTTTTGGCTAAAACCAACACAGTAACGATGCCACAGGCACCGTATTCCCCAGATCTGGCCCCCTGTGACTTTTTCTTGTTCGCAAAACTGAAGAGGCCCATGAAAGGACGGCGTTTTGCCACGATTGAGGAGATAAAGACGGCATCGAAGGATGAACTAAACAAGATCACAAAAAATGATTTTTTGAAATGCTTTGAGGATTGGAAAAAGCGTTGGTACAAGTGCATTATATCCGAGGGGGATTACTTTGAAGGAGATAAAATAAAAATTGATGAATAAATAAATATTTTTTGAGAAAAATAAAAATTCACCTTACTTTTTGATCACACCTCGTATTCCTGAGGCAGCGAATTTTAAACCAACTCATCATATATATCTTGATAGTTGTCAATGTTCTGTTTAACTCATGTGAATCGGTGATTTAAGTTTTCCCAGAATTTTAGACGTTTGAAAAACGGAGCTATTTGTTGCATTATTGGGACTCGTAACACGTGGTCAATTTTAGTGTCTAGTCGACAAATATTACAGTGCTCATTTTCTATTGACATTAAACATATTGAGCAATAAAAGTGTTTCACTAACGGGAATTGAATATTTGTAAAAAATTGTTTAAATTTGTAGAGTTTTTACGCAATAGTTTGGTTTGATACAATGTAGCTCTATAATTTCGAGTATGGTTGTCATTCAAGCCCCCGTGACTTCAAATCTCGACATGAGGGTAAAAATGGACATGATACTTTCTGCAGTCATTATTGGTGCACCTGGATACAATTTATCACTATTAACAATTGTAAATTCCTGATCGTCGCTATCTTCTGTATTTGAGTATTCTGTAGGCGAACTGTACACTGATGAGCTGGTATCAGTGGCAAAAATACTCTCATCTTCTTCGCTGGAGTAATGATGATCATTAAGAAATGTTGTACAATCATATTAACATTTAAGAAATTTATAAATTCATCTGACTATATATTATTTTAACTGTACAAGGAAGACATTTAATATTGTAGATTTGAAATTAACTTCAACTATAAAAATTTAAAAATTCAAGGTATGATTGAATTTTATCCATAATTGCATATTCATTCAATTAGTTAAATTTGTAAAAGAGGTCGCCGAGTACTAAAAAAGGTCCCTGCTTTACTTCGAACCGTATTAGCAAGTTTTCTTGAAAACGAGTTACGTGATCGATGCATAACTTTTTATGATTGCTTATAAATTCAATTCAGAATTCAAAATAATATATGAACATAACAATTATCTATTGCGGCAGAAAATATTTTCAGTAAGTATATAATGACATAAAAAAAGACATAGAAATTTTTATATATTTTCATGTGAACATTGTTCAATTTATTACTGATGAAAAGGTTTTGAAACATACTATGCGTATGCGCATGCTATGATCAAAGCTCCCCATTATCATCTAGTAAAATAAAGTAAAGCTCAAAGCTTAAGCTTGTGCTGATTTAACTTAACAGTACGCTCATATGTGAAGTCAAGTATTGCTTATAACGCGGTTTTGAACGACTCAAGCAATTTCGTGCACCAACCTGCAAAATGAAGACAGAGTAACTTTGCTTGGAGATGGTTGAGCAACGTGAATATCGAGCTTTCTGCTCTCCTCATGCATCAACCATACTTTGACGCAGATAACTGTACACTAAAATAGTTATAGTGATACTTTTAGTAGAATGGCTGAAGATTTTCAACAAGTTTTGGATAACAGGCATCAACCTCTCACGCTTGAAATTATATTGTAAATTTTTTTCATGAAAGCTTTACGTCACCCGTGATTTGTTTATACTTTTTTCTAATTAAAAAATAGTAGCTTAATGTATGACTTTAAAAGAATTATTAATATTTTTTAGAATTTTATTATTACAGCCGAATGCTACACTGCACCGCAATAGAAAAGCTAACGAAGTCTCACCGACGATTAATTCTGTCCCCTTATTTTAATTTTCACAGCAAGCTTTAGGTTGGAAATTCAGACTGTGGGAACAGAGTCAATCGTCGGCGAAGTAAACGTGGTTATCGCTATTGCTAAGAAGTTGAGCACTCGAAAGAAAAAAAATTTTTGTCTCGAACACTCTGTGAGTAATGTATTCGATAATTATAAGACTCACAAAATTATACCTTGCTGTTCAATATCCGATAAATAATCGTCATGCTGATTATGTCCGTTCCCATCACGCTCAGCATCATGCGTAATGTTCTCCTGCTCCAAGTAGCTATTATCGAAATCGTCGGTATCTTTATGACTTTTAGAGCTTTCAAGTTCAGCATCACGTGAAACGTGCTCCTGCTCAGAGTAGCTATCATCCACAGGCGTCGATATCGTGATGGTTCAGAGCTTGTGTCAACGTGATTCTACGGGAAAATATTTTCCATTTATGGCTTGTTTTTATACTAATGAGATGGATAATATTAAATTAAAATCTTCGAGGTATAAACACGATAAAACAACACACTCAAGAATACTAATATTGTTAATTTAACTTTAAAACTGTATCGGCAAATATTTTTCAAGAGTTATGTAACGGTGTAGGCTGGTCATAGCCTACATCGTGTGTCCCTTACCTCTCTCTGATCTTGGCGAGGGCTCACGGCTGGCATCAAACACATTCTTATTCTTTATTGCCTGATGCCTGCCTTTGTTTTTCAGCGCTAGTACCCGAGCAAGAAGGAGAGAGAAAGCGTCGTACTGCAGTGCGAGCCGGCTAGAGAGAGAGAGAGAGAAAGAGAGAGAGCGAGAGAGAATGCGTCTTAAGAATGCTAGACTATAGACGCGCGGATTTAGTCGAATTCGGCAGTGTCTCGCGCCTCGAATTAGGGGAGTGAGTGGTGGAAGAAGGTGTGAGAGAGAGCGGCTCCCACGCAGTCGTCAGTCGTCAATGCCACTCATTAGGAGAGAGAGCTTTGTTTGCTAGCCTATCAGTGTGTTTGCATTACAAGACGATCTTCAATTTAACATAAACATAGCCCCCTTTATTACACTGACATAGGTCAGATCATAGATACAACCTATATAAACATTGATGACTCAGAAATTAAATTTATCGTTGTAACCGACAAATTCCCCAACAGTACGGAAGCTCTTCTGGGAGCAAATTTTTTTAGAACAAATCAGGCCGTAGTCGATTTCGGGCTGGAGATATTACAAATTCCGATAAATCAATACCTTTTTTTGAATAAAATGATCCATGAAGTCCCACGTAGGACTAAATTAACCCCAAAGTTACCCTTTAAAAATCCAACCTCATTTTACAGAGGCTACATCCCCACTTTGGAATTCGGAAACCCTACATTACAGCGGAAAATCAAATAGCATGTAACTTAGATGATTATGTAGACTAACAAATAGAAAACAGTAACAATTTTCTAGTCAAAATTAGATTCCAAAAGTTAATACTATTCACGGAAGCCATGTACTTTCAAATTGAACATACGGGATAGTTTTATGAACGATCCTTTCGAGCGCGGATCTTCGTGCTCTCACGAATTCGAGTCTATCGCTTCAATTTCTCTTACCTCCAACAATTCAGGTGACGCAACCATAAACAAAGACTAAACGCAAGAGTTGAAGGACCAAGAGACCTTTTCGCAAATTCTAAACGAACTAACTAATCTTCAAGTTTCACCTCCACGCTGTGTGAACACATTAACGGCGCCAAGACTACCGGCAGACGAGCATATCACAGTTGTAGCCAGTCCGGAACTTAATACTGGGACAGTTTCTCACTCTTCTCGTCTGCTTAAACCTAGCGCAAATAAGGCTCTAACCTCTATAAACCTAAAAGCACAAGGGTCAACTTTAACCACCGATACCCATAACGCAAATTTAATTAAACGTTCTAACAATGGTCCAACGTTCCAAGATCAGTCGTCGGAGTACGTGATTGCTTTAAAAGAAGGAATAGAATACGACTAAATGCACACTTTATCTGTGATGAGATTAAATTCAGAAGGTAATATCAAAGATATACTCGATAGTAACTCCGTCTATTATTCCGAAGAAAAATTTTCTTCGCTAAACTATGCTCACCTACCCGCTGAACTCAATCTCAACCCCAACCTTAGTCGAGTTGATAAGATTATAAACTTGATTGACACAGACGGAATATCAAACGAACTAAGAACGTGCTTTCGCAAGCTCGTAGAAAAACCTGATAAAGCTTTCCACTTATCGAACGACCATCTAACAGCAACCAACACTACGTGCCACAGAATTGTAACTATAGATGACATCCCCGTGAATATTCAGCAATATCCCATCCCGCAAAAAATGCAGGCAATAGTGGAAGTGATAGTTAGGAAATTATTGATAACAGATATAATAGAAACCTCCAATAGCGATTATAACGCCCCCTTACTAATAGTACCGAAACATAACGGAAAATGGAGAGTCGTGGTAGATTTCTGGGAACTAAATAAGAAAATAAAGGCAGACTTAACCTATTCCCAATTTTATCAACAAATTATCTCAATTATTTGGGTCGACCGTGTACTCCATTCTAGACATGGTCTCAGGATTTCACCAGGTACTACTTCATCCCGAAGATCGTCAAAAGATCGCCTTCTCAACACCATACGGTCACTTTCATTTTATAAGAATGCCCTTTGGTCTAAAAAATCCTCCAAGTACATTTCAAGACATGATCGATAATGTACTCAGAAACGTACAAGGAAAAAGAGTTCTGGCCTATGTCGATGACTTAAATATTTTTTTCAAAGATATCGACGAACACGATGATAAATACCTGCAGACATCAGAACTTTTTATTGATACAGGACTAAAATTTAACCCTAAAAATGTAGACCATATCAAAATGAGGCCAAATATTTAGGTGACGTTTTAACTTCAAATGGCATAAAACTGGACTCGGCCAAAGTTCGTGCTGTCAAAGAATTCCCGACATCTAAAACCTCTAAAAATATACAAGAATTCATTGGCCAATCCAGATATTACCGCCGATTCATCCTTGGATTTTCGAAGATAGCCAAGCCCTTAACCGAACTTATAAAGAAGAACATGCCATTCATCTGGCAAGACACTCAGAAAAACACATTCGAAACCCTGAAAATTTGCCTAACCACTGAGCCAATACTCATACATCTTAATTTCAACGAACGATTCTTTATGACAGACGTTTCACAGTACGCTATCGGTGGATACCTAGGACAAAAAATAGGCGACAAATATCTCCCTGTTTATTATGTCTCTAGAGTCTTAACTATACCCGAAACCAACTATCGTACGATTGAAAAGGAACTTTTATCAATAGTATACTGCATCAAGCAATTCCGCTATTATCTTTTTGGTCAAGAATTCATCGTCATAACAGATCACCAAACCCTCATTTGGTTTCACAATCTCAAATTGCCTAACGTTAGGCTTAAGCGTAAGGTATTTTAAACCATTCTAAACTATTCTAAAAAAGTTAAAAATTGCTAATAAATACTAAAAATAAGACGTTATGTAATTGTTATTATTCACAACTATTCTAAAAAAAGTTAAGAATCGCTAATAAGTACTACAAATAAGAATGTCTTGTTATGTAATTGTTAATATATTCAAAATAAAAAAGAAATATACTACAATGAAAAGAAATTATAACAAGGTTTTTTGACATATTTTGCGTAATTTTCCGGATCTTAGGTGATTTACTTAACAGATTCTGCATGGTATGATTGAATTAAGAACCCCTCACCTTATACAAATAAAAAAACAAATGTTTCATTAAATTGTGGAAAAATTACGGCCGAACTTAATCAACTTCAGATATAGAATCAAAATAAAGAAAGGTTCAACATTATCTTTGCCTAAAGTTTAGCCAAGCTTTAGTCAGACATATAACTAAAATTTGTGTGGAAAATAAGTTTGATAAAAGTTTTCACAATTTTTAAGAATAAAATCAATCTCAAAATTAAGTTTGTTGAAACTAGTGACAAATTTGATTCAAACTGTGTGGGAAAAAAGGAAAAATAATTTTCAATGGCCAAAGTTTGCAAAGACTTTTCCTAAACTTTTTACAAACATCGCAGGCGAAACGAAAAGTTTGGAATCATCTCATTGTTTAAATTTTACCAAACTTCAACTAACGCAAGTTTAATTAAAATTTTCTCAAACTTTAAATTTTTTTACGCGGGCAGTCAGTGGAGGACGTCACAGCAGAATCGAGTGCGTGGAGCGAGTACAGCAGAAGTCGTGAGAAGGAGACCTGAGAGCAAGAAGCAAGAATTCCAGGAGGAAGCTGCTCAGCGGGAAGACAACGATACGCCTTCGAGAAGAGATGGTCTACCGTTTCCCGCTCATCAAGGAGTCGAAGCAGGACAACGGTCAAGTTCTCTTCCAGAATTTCTCTCTCTCTCTCTCCCTTTCTGTCTGTCTCTCTCTGTCTGTCTGTCTCTCTCTCTCTCCCTGTCTGTCTGTCTCTCTCTCTCTCCCTGTCTGTCTGTCTCTCTCTGTCTGTCTGTCTCTCTCTCTCTCCCTGTCTATCTGTCTCTCTCTGTCTGTCTGTCTCTCTCTCTCTTTCTCTCTCTTTCAGACATGGCGATCGTCCTCACCCGTCACGGGTGCCGCGATAATTAGGCGTTCACCCGCCAAATATTGCGACGATTCTTCGTGCCGATATTCGCACCGTTGCCGCGGTGATATCACGCCAGGCAATGAGCTGACTAATTGTCGGGCTTCTTTGTACAGTATGTTAAGTTATTTTTAGAATATAGGATAAGATTTGCAATTAAATAGTCTAAATCCCTTTATTTTTCTTTTCTCTTACTCTAATCCTCTCTCAATTACTCAGAGCGTCATTGCCTCTCTTCCCCGCTCTAAATAATTCGTGACGAGCCGTATTATCTCGTTACAAATGTCTAAACCTCCATTTTCAACCGAACAATTAAAACTTTAATTTGTAACGGTGTATATTGGTCATGGCCACACCGTGCGTTCCTTCTCTCTCTCTCCGACATCGGCATCGTGCCTAATGGCACGATGCCGATCGGTTTCTCTCTTCACGAGAAAGAAAAAGAGAGCAGCAACAGTATTTTTTTTTACATTTCAGTAAAAATCGTGATGAAGCAAATAAATTCTATAAATAACAAATGTTCAAAGAAAAAAAATATCATAACATTTACTTTTTAATAAATATTATATTTTTCTTTCATTTACTTTTCGTTCGATTTGGTTTTTTTCTTATTATATGTTTTCTTAACATTTTTTATACAACTTTTGCCTTGTACTGATGTATTTTATTATTTTTTCCTTTTATCGTTGAAGTTTTCTTCATCTTGCGTTTTCTTTTAGTTATTTTCTTTTTATTTTTTTCTACTTCAATTTATTAATTTACAACAGTTTCAGCAATGAAACA